TGTGGCAGTGCTGTATTTTAGGTTATTTTGTAATAAGAGTTTAATTCAAATTATTAAACTATATAGTATTGTCTAAGTGAGAATGCTTAAGTTGTACGTATGTCTGACGTACTTAACTATTTTTATATACCGATTCTCGTACTCGTTCAACCGGTTTGTCTGGTCAACGTGTGTCTCAAGTGTTTGTTACCTGTGCTGTTTTGTTATGTAAATGTCTTGTCACGTGATCGCATGTCAGCTCGTGCACTTGTACGTCTTGTATCTTCACTCCCGCACTGGACAGAGACCGGACCAGACATAGAAACCTATACCGACATATATTATACCGACTGCGGTGAACAGAACTCTACTTATTTCAGAGTAAGTGTATGAAACATATTAGTATTGAGCTATTTGAAATACTATATTTTAGAGTAACCTTTATGGAATTAGTATGTTTGCATTTGTTAAAATATTTGAAGAAGTTAAAATATCTTTCTTTGATAAACGTATTTTTGGGTGTGGTTTCCATTATCTTTTTATGGAAACTGTAATTCACTCTAAAGTATTTTAAAAGTAATTTGCTAAACATGTTTACTATATATTAAGTTTTGTTATTTTCCTTTTCAACAGAACCATAGACCTATTATGTAGGCAACGTATATTATACGTAGAGCTATCATCATTAGACCCCTGTCGGAGCGATAGGGTAGGTATTTTTAATATAAGGCACTATTTAATTATCTCGTAATTATCATAGTTCATGTGCAAAATTGGTAAATTCTATAATTTATCATGTACAAGTATTTCAAATGTATTGTATTAAATTCGTAATGTTAATTGCAACCGTTACGGGTATCGTGTATCTTTATGTAAAGCTAATTTGATGTCCATTGTATAATGTAGATCTTTTATGTATTGAATATGTGCTTATATGTTTTATTTGTGCTATTGCAGGGTCTTTCGACTCCAATAAAACGATTGCATAACTAGGAATTTGCTTCTTCGTGATTTATAAGAATCTGTGTAGCACCTGAACCCGGCTACACTACTTAGAAACAGACTATAATCCTACTAACAACATTCTTCCCCCCATGTTATTTTAAAAAGTGGGGGAAACGAGAACAAGCCGTTGTCAGTATAGCTATGCAAACACGGCCGCTCTAATTTCGTAATCTAAACGATATAATAACACAGGTCGATAGTACACTTATATTTACTTCGAATGAAATAAATAAAGACCAAGGAAATAATGCTTATTTTGTACTACGACCAGGGTTAGGATCGAAATGAACGACCATTTGAGAATGATGCATAACTTTTACCGTATTGCTGAACTGGTGCTTTGATACATCACTCCAGGGACACATAAAGCCAGTATATACGTCTCTGATCACTCATATAATAATCAAAGACACAATATGAACTCTCAACATTAACGATATTTAATAACGAACGATAAGTACGTCCCGATGTCTTCTACAACATATATTACGTAAACTATATCCCCCGGCTCCGTTCGGTCCGAGGTGCTAATTGTCCAGTATTTATTGATCAACTCGTGCAAATGATGAACCGATAGTGTAAATGTTCATAAACGAACCACTGTATATATATATATATGTCTTAACATATATATATATATATATATATATATATATNTATAATCCTCTTAGTAAGGAGATTCCCGATCACCTGTCCTCTCAGCTTTTAATTTCTATTGTATTTAACATAAATGTATTTTTTTTATTCATATTTGGTTTTTTTAATCATTACTTATCTAATTGTAATTAAATGGAACTTTATCTCTCCTGTACTGCCGTAAGAATATTTCTGGAGTTAACTCCCTTGGCAGAACCAGAGCCAGAGCAGATTTCAATGGCGGTTCAGGTCTATCGTCAGCCTCAGCTCGGACGACTATTAGCTGACAACACTTTACTCAAGTGCTTTGAATAGTGTTAACCGTATTAGACACACTATTGGTCTTATACATTTGTGTCCAGCCTCCATTGAACAAGTCCTATTGTTAATTTGCCACCATGCACAGGTGGGTTCTGCACCCTCGACAGTAACTCGTCAGCATTTAATTATGTACATAAGCTTCGGAATAGGCGAGTTCAATGGTATGTTTTATCGTAAGAAAGTCTGTTTAGGGTCTAAGAAGTTTGAAGGCGTCAGTAAACACAAGGGCCCCTATAACATGATATCATGTCATTGATTCATAGTAAATTATCCGACTTTTTCCTCAGTTTGTATGTATAGCAGTATTTAACCTTGCATTTTATGTCTTATTCCGATGAGGAGCCTGAATTAAAACCGATCATTTTATTTATACGAGTTACCTCCCTTCCATTAATTATCGGAATTCAAAATATTGATTTTAAAATTACACGTTATAAGAGTTGACATAGATAAAACTCTTTATCTAAAAGCCTATAAATATTATATTATACAATTTTGGACTTTTGTGCTGGTGAATATGATGTGATATGAACCTGAAAGAGTGATATCGACCGAGGTTCATATCACATATTTACCAGCACAAAAGCCCCTAACTGTTTTATTATATAATTATAAGCTTCAACAATAAAAAAATAAAATAAAAAATAAAAAAAATAGCTTCTAATTTTCGTACGCGAGCCTCCGTGTAAAATTTAGCCAGGTTTGAATTCAACAGTTCAGCATTGCAGCTTTCGAAGATATTAAGATAAGTATGGAGGACATGCACTGCGTGTTCAATGGCCTTTTTTTTATGTTAACAGCATCTTTCTCCTCGAATAATTTTGGTAATTTTCTGATTTTCTGAGAAGAAACGTTCGCCAGCAGCCATCTGCTATTCCGTCTTTTCGTATTGCAGAGTTATCTGCTCTTGTGAGCAGGTATTGATTGTTACGTCATTTGTTTGTGGGAGTAACGTCATATTTGTTTAAGAAAACGACGTAATTTTCTCACACAAACTAATGACGTAACATTCAATACCTCTACAATGCGAAAAGACGGAATTGTCATCCGACAGATCGCATTCCGGTCTAACTGCGCATGCGCTACGACAGGTTCCGGGGAAATCCATATTGGCTATAACCAGCTGTCTACATGAGTTTTTGAGGACTGGTCACGTGATCCGACCAATGTGATGCCGAGAAATTTCCATGCATATAATAATATAAATAATTTATTATGAGCCACTGTAATATAAATGTGAGTTGCCATCATACGCACAGCTTTGTGAGTCACTGGAATATAAATGTGAGTTAGCATAATACACACAGCTTTGTGAGCCACAGTAATATAAATGTGAGTTAACATCATACACACAGCTTTGTGCTAGTGACATATACAGCCTCTCTGTAGTATATATATACGTCTCTGTTTGTGCTATCTGCAAAATGTATATGTGTTGGTCAAACTTGAAAGTTAACAACTATATGTATCAAAAACAAAGAAAGTTTTTAGGTTTCACTGCGTTGACGTACACTATGTACAGGTATGAGGCGGGTAATTACAGACGTCGGATACGAGAAATACATAAAATATATATATATACATTAAAACATACCTGATCCCAAATATAATTATGTTAAGATAAATAAATCAGTTTCTGTAATTTTTTAATAATATGTGAAGGTATCCTTTAGTCACCTTTGCTGTAGATAGGACGTTCAAACCAATACAACCAACCAACCTTAAAAATTCCGGAAGTTCTATACCGCAATTCCGATTCTTTGCTTATAGTTGAATAGGCAACATCCGTGTTCGGGCGGGACAAGGAAGAAAAGTGTTGTGTCTTGAAAACACATACCTGTCTGCGCTTTCATTATCTTATATTAAGTTCGCACGGTGAGTAATATGTGTAACAGTGGTGTTTGTATCAATTTTATCTCCCATTAAACAGACTCGAACTTATTATTGACAGGATTCAATATTTAAAATGCTGTCATACTTTTACTTCAGTAGGCCTACGTATATAGAAAACGAAAGTATTTGATACCTTTGTACCTAGGACGTGTTAGCTCTAAATAACATGCCCTTATACTTGACATAAACAAACTATCATTAGACAGTGTTCATTGAAGTTGCCACAATCACGTGTTTGAATAGTAATCCCAACAGCTTTCAAATTTGCGGACATGAGCAAGGCTACTTCTGGTAGTAATAATGCATTGACTGATCTAGATCTAGACCAACTGGATTTGTGCATCTTGGAAATAAATACGAATGTAGGAAACAATTGTCTGTCCCTTTCACTGTTGATATTGGTCCCTATACCATGCCTCACACCTAGCACATGCCTAGCATTTATAAAAATATGTACACCTATACAAATGTAGCTACAGCCAACCAGCTTTATACACATTAGGCATTGTACGTGTTTTGTCCTAAATAACAGCCTGAATTTGACCAGACACTGTTTTTAGCCCAATATAGAAAATACTTTATCTTTGTGTTAAATCTGCCCAGTTTGTCCATGGCGTAGTTTTTTTTTAATGTTTCAAAAAAGCCACCTTTTGAATGGTTTGTGTTTATAATTTCCCCCAAAAAAATAATAATAAAAAAATCAGTGTACTTTGTGCATGCACAATCTACCACTTCCCTCACAGGAGATAAAATTGTTTCAAATCAACATGTAGAACATGATATTATGAATGTCGGGTCACACATCGTTGATCGGATATAATCGGTTAGTGTCAACCGATCGATTTTCGATAATCAATCGGTTAGCGTACCGTTACATAATCCTTAAAAAAATATTTCTTTTTTTTACAATGGCATGGATTTTCCTTAAATTAATACTACTAATGAAATTTCAACTTTTCTGCGTAGTTTTGTATCTTTATTTTTTATCATACCATTTCAATGTAACAATCTTTATTGATTAACAGTTATCATTTATATTTTTGCAATAAATTATGTATAAATAGCATGATTGGTAAGAAGTTATGGTTCAGAGTAAAATGACATAGAACTACTGTTCTCTCTTAGTGAAAATGAAAGTAGAACTCGCACTTCCGGTTTTGAAAACAATCATCGATGTTGACATCTCATAATCGATTGTCGGGAATCTGTTGCCTTTCCGATTATAATCGATCATCTGGACAACACTAGTGTTTATGCAGAAGCTTAAGAATGACTTACCAAAAAAATAATGATAATGTAGTGGAACTTGACTGAGTCGACATTTGGCGACCATATATAGCTCAATTGGTAGGCCGTCCGTCTAGAGTTCAGAGGATCCTGGGTTCAAACCCCGGTCTGGCCATGCATTTTTCATTCTCCTGTTACACTAAAAAACATCAATGTACTTTGTGCATGCACAGTCTACAACTTCCCTTCATAGGAGATGAAAATGTTGGAAATCAACACGTAGAACATTATTGCAGGTCACCAGCTAGCTGACCGGCTAATAATTTATATTAATGATACATGCTTTCCAGAGTGGTACTTACTAAAGGGAATTACACAATTTACATTTTTAGGTATCAGATTTACTGTGGACCTGCACAAAATTCCAAAAACTTTGATATGAAACAGAAGGATTTTAAAATCTTTAGGAAGAAAACAAATTATAAATTTCCTTCATATATATACATATATATTATTTTTACACCTGGCTGACTGTTAAACAATAGGTTGACTTACATACTTGTTAACATGATATTCACCTGTGGTTGGGGGAGCTAGGACAGTCTAACATCTGTAAACTTTTCTAATGCCAAGTGTGGTGTATTCTTTCAACTAATTATAACATGTGTACTATCTTCGATTACACACTTGCAGCAAATATCTAAGGAAATTAACCTATAAAAAGATGTTACTAGCGAAAGAACAGTATATATATCAAGATATAGGTAAATATTTACCAAGTCTCATGTTTACAATTGAATTTGATGCAGAATACCAGCCAAACACTTATATGCCTACATCACTACTGCAGTAAACAATCATAATTACAATCGTACTGATCGTCATTTTGCTACTAACGATATGAAATGTAACTGCATACTGAAATGAAATACAAATAATATATGTATTTCTATACTTATTTACTTATATCTATATTTCAACTAGGGTAAAGAACAAGGTTAGTTACAAAATATCAATCTTCTTCGTAGAGCCACATCACTTAGGCATTTGACTAAGTTCACTTCCGGTTTTGAGGGCTGAAAAACATCCGAAAATATGTATTCTGTTTATGTCATGTTTCTGTTAATATCATGTTTTTCTCTGACAAATGGGAAGTGATATTAAGAGAAATCTACTGTATCACAATTCATCATCTTGAAAAAAAAAAAAAAAAATTTTTGATGGAAAAGTAAATCAAATGAAATAACAAGAGAAATTGTTGTTCAGAATTATCATTAGAAATTAAAAGCTGAACAGTATAATTTCTTATGGAATAGTAAATCAGATAAAAAAAAACCCTTCAAAATGTTAATTCCAATTTTTTTATAGAATCTTTGAAATTAACCTGGATTTGGAGGCTATATATGACAGAAAGAAAGTGGCATATTTATACCACCCGCAACAAAGTTAGGGGGATGTGGTACTGGAATCACTCTTTTTGTAGACAAAATATTGTACCTCCTACTCCTCATAAGTTTATGCATGGATTTTGATGAAACTTAACACACATTATACCTCAAATGAACTTGTGTCTCTCAGAACGCCATTATGTTTCTTGAATATTTACCAGAGTTATTATGGCCATTGACTTCTGTAGACTGTATATTACCTTACTGAAAATGGCTAATTATCTAGGCAACCATATTTATTTTGTATACACATATACATTGAAATGTTGTAGGTATTAATGAAAGCTACTCTTCTGACAAATTTCTGAGGTCATGAGGTCAAAGTTCAAAGGTCACAAATGAATTACAATACTAAAATGGCTAAATATCTCAGAAATGGTAGGTATTTTGTATACACATATACATTGAAATATTATAGGGATTAATAAATGCTTCTCCACTGACAAACTTCCGAGGTCTGGGGGTCAAAGGTCAGGAATGAAATACGTTACTGAAATGGCTAAATATTTCGGAAACGATAGGTATTTTGAATACACATATACATTGAAATATTATAGGCATTAATGTAATCTACTCTACTGACAGCTTCTGAGGTCGTGGGGTCAGAGGTCTAAGGTCAAGAATGAATGAAGTTACTGAAATGGCTAATTATCTTGGAAAATAGTAGGTTTTTGCTATACACATACCATTGAGTATCGTAGCCAATTATGCAGGCTATATTATGACAAACTTCCAAGGTCATCAGGTCAAAGGTCACATGCATGATGTTACTGAATTGGCTAATTATTGCAAAAATGGTAGGTATTTTGTATACACATACCTTGGAACGCAAGCTACATTGTGACAAAATTCTGAGGTCATTGAGACAAAGGTCACGGTAGTGGTGTTTGTCTTTTCCATCGGTCATCTGAGGTTAGACTTTTTCATGATCCATGATCTTTCTATATATTTTTTCCGTTGTTTATTTAGCCCGTTCAGGGGCAATACGCAGTCAGAATGTCCATATGCGACAGCTCTAGTTTTTACCTCACCTGGTCCTAAAGACCATGGTGAGCTTATGCCATACCGCATCGTCCGTCCGTCGTCCGTCCTTCAACTTTTCCTTTAAAACACTACTTGTCATGAACGACTGAGAAGATTTTGACCAAATTTGGTCAGAAGCATCCTTGGGGAAGGGGAACACATTTTGTATAAATGGTGGGTCTGGCCCCCCTGAGGGCTGAGGGGCATGGCCCAATAGGGGAAATATAACAAATTCTTTAAAATGCTTCTTTTACTGTAGGAATGAAACGATTTGTTCAATATTTGGTCAGAAGCTTCCTTGGGGGAAGGGGAACAAATTTTGTATAAATGGTGGGTCTGGCCCCCCTGGGGGCTGAGGAGCGGGGCCCAATAGGGGAAATATAGCAAATTCTTTAAAATCCTTTTTCTTCTGTAGGAATAAAAGGATTTGTTCCATATTTGGCATGAAGCATCCTTGGGTGAAGGGGAACCAATTTTGTATAAACGGTGGGTCTGACCCCCCATGGACCTGAGGGGTGGGGCCCAATAGGGGAAACATAGTAAACTCTTTAAAATCCTTCTTCTTCTGTAGGAATGAAAATATTTGGTCCATATTTGGTTTGAAGCATTCTTGGGTGAAAGGGAACCAATTTTGTATAAACAGTGTGTCTGGCCCCCTTGGGGACTGAGGGGCATGGCCCTATAGGGGAAATATAACAAATTCTTTAAAATCCTTCTTCTTCTGTAGGAATAAAAGGATTTGTTCCATATTTGGCATGATGCATTCTTTAGTGGAGGGGAACCGATTTTGTATAAACAGTGGGTCTGACCCCCCAAGGGGCCTAAGGGGCAGGGCCCAATAGGGGAAATATAGCAAATTATTCTTTAAAATCCTTCTTTTTCTGTAGGAATGAAAGGATTTAGTCCATATTTGGTCTGAAGCATTCTTGGGTGAAGGGGGACCAATTTTGTATAAACCCTGGGTGTGACCCCCCTGGGGGCTGAATGGCGTGGCCCAATAGGGGAAATAAAACAAATTCTTTAAAATCCTTCTTCTTCTGTAGGAATGAAAGGATTTGTTCCATATTTGGTGTGGAGCATCCTTGGGTGAAGGGGAACTAATTTTGTATAAATGGTGGGTGTAGCCCCCCTGGGACCTGAGGGGTGGGGCCCAATAGGGAAAATATAGGTAAAACCTGTATAATCCTTCTTCTACCATAGGGAATAAGGGATTTTATCCTAATTTAGTCTGGAGCATCCTTGGGCAAAAGGGACTCAATTTCATATAAACGGCGAGTGTGGCCC